CGGCCCTCGCTGCGCCGCCCTGGCGCCCTGCGTCGACAACGGCAACGTCATCGGCGGCTCCAGAGAGGCCTGCGCGCGACTTCACGAGGCTTTCCGCGACGAGCTCCACGCCATGGGCTTCGTCGCGCACGATGAGGTGGAGTCTGTGGCCGAGCAGCTCGACCTCGTGGGGCTGATCATTCACGGCCCGAGGCGTTCGCTTATGGCGAGGCCAACGCGGACGTGGCGGCCGCGGCATGCCCTACGCGCGTTTGAGCACCTGGGCGGGGCCGCGCCCTCCCAAGCGCGCCAGGTGGTCGGGCGCGTCGTGGGCCACTTCAGCGTGCGACGAGAGCTGCTCTGCGTGTTGCGCGTGCTGTGCCGCTTCATCGGCGACGGCGTCGGCGACTGGAAGGCTTTCGGGGGCCGAGCTCGCCGAGCTGCGGGCGGTGCGCTCCCTGCTTCCGCTGGCCGTGTCAGACCTGGGCCGGCCCATCGGGAACGTGGTCTATTGCCCAGACTCGATCAAGCGGGGAAGGGTACGCTTTGGACGCCACCAACGCCGCGCCGCAGGAATCCCGGGGGGGCGCTCAGCACCGCGAGCGGTGGCGTTTCCGGGGGCCCGACGCGTTCGCAGGCGGCGGGCCAGAGCCGAGGGTCCGTCGCGGCGCGCTGCCGACTGGAGACCCTGCCTCGCGCTGCGCGCCGCGAGCCTTCTCGGCTTGAGCCGAGGCGGAGGTCGCTCGCGAGCTGGGCCTCCTGCCCCGGCGGGCGGACGCTCGCTGCCGAGCCCCCGACGCCCTGGCGGAGGCCCACGGCGCGGCGCCAGCGCCGGGGCCGGAGTGGGGCGACCCGCGGCGCTGGAGGCGCCTCGTCGCTGGGAGCTGGAAGATGGAGGACATAATCCACCTGCTGGAGTCCCGCGCCTCGCTCTTCGGGCTGCTCGACCGCTGCTGGGGCGAGCGGCGCCGCAATTCCGCGTGCCTCAGCTTCGGCGACAACGTGGCCGAGGTCCTGTCGTTCGACCGGGGGCTCGCCGCCTCGCAGCCGCCCTTCTGCCTCGCGAGGCGCGGCTGCGCGCGGCAGGTCGCGGCCAACGTCAGATGGGCCCGGCGGCGCATCGAGACCGAGCGCAACCCCGGCGACTACGCGTCGACGGCCGTCGACGGGGCCACAGGCCGAGGTGCGGGGCGCGGGCTGGAGCAGCAGGAGGGCGCCATGGCGGGCCGGGGCGGCGGGTGGCTGGACCCCGCAGCCAAGGGCTGGACGCTCCGCCCCGAGCTTGGCCCGCGCTTGCCCCGGTCTGGCGCGAGCGGCGGCTGCGGCCGCGGGGGGCCGCCCCCAGCTGGCGCCCGCTCTGGCTCGGCCTCCGCCCGCGGGCCCGCTCTGGCCGCGAGCCCCCCCTGGCCCAATTTCGATGCAACCTCGCCCTGTGCATGGGGCTAGATTCTGTTCTGAGGTGGCAGCAAATTTCCGCGATGAGCCCGCAGGGGGCTGGCTGCCTGCAGCCCAGCGGCGCCTGGCCAAATTTCGATGCAACCTCGCCCTGTGCAGGGGCTAGATTCTCTTCTGAGGTCGCAGCCAATTTCCGACCGCA